TAATGTTCTCCACATGTATTCACACAAATGCTTGTCAAATGTCTTTGCCCTGGTATATGTAGTTGGTAGTTGCTTTTAAACCCTTTTCAGAATCTTTTTTATCCAGGCAATTCTACAATTTTTGGGTGGGGGTGCCATATGGAACTCTTTCCATAATAATAATTACAAATAGGCTGTTTTGAGCCACATTTCTTTTCCTGATAAGTCTAACATGCATGCTTTTTTTGTGCATTTATATGTATGAACAGCCTTAGTAGTCTGTAGTAAAGGTTTTAAAGTGTTGTTTAAACTGAATGTTTACTGTTTAAGGTTCTTTTTGCCTGAATGTTCAATTAGGGTCTTGTGCAATTCATTGCAATCCCTATTATGAACCACTATTGTGTATCATGATGATAACCATAGTCATATAGTGTGTATGATGTTTTTAGTTACATAGTGAAGATGACATCCACAGTCATATAGTGTTTATAATATTCATAGTCATAGAACTAGGCAATTAACTCAATTAATAGATATAATCAATTGCCTATGAGCATTGATTATATTGATTAGTGTCACATGAAATAACTGACTGGATTATTACTATATTTGATTATTCCAATTATTCATGTCTCATGTGAGAATAAAATTATTAGTTGAATGTAATGGATTAATGAGCCTAAAGATTAATCAGTTACCAAATTCCACTAATTGTTCAGCTCTAATAAAGAATAGCACCACCATAGTCATATAGCTGACCTTTGATTTTGAGGCACGCATTTCTTATTTCAAGTTTAAGTATGAAATGCTTTATGCTCTTCAGAACAATGGATATACTAATTTAAATTTATGTGAGAACCATGTATTTTGCAGTTCCCTGTCATGACTATATTCCAACCTGACCAGCAAATAAAATATCTATTTAAAAATCAATGCTAAATGAATATTTCAACACCACTTTCCGATGCCACATGTCTTAGTACTTAGCATTACTTTGGGTGATAGTTTGAAACAAAATGGCAGCTAAGAGCTTATTGCTAGTCATACTGAATTGATTGTGATATGCCGTCCATTTAGTTATCTACATTTCTTGAGTGGCGTAAAGTTGTTAGTCTGACCTTGGCCAATGAAAGCAAATATTTTTGGTATTCATACAACAAGTATATTTGTACAATGCATCTTTTAGTGGGATAGAGAATGTAATGGTAGGTTAATTGTGAAGTATAGAAGCATACACATATTCACCTGTTGTACCATTGACTGTAGGACTTTAAACTTTTCCACTCAGTGATTAATGTAAATTAGTTTTTATCCCTGGGATATTAGTTGTAGTCCTGCAATCTACTAATAGGTATAATTGCCTGATGCCATCCTATAAACCTCATTGATGTTATATTTTATATATATCTCTTGACAAAGTTAAAGAGAGCATTCCATTGTTTCCTGTGATTTTCAAATGTGAAGCACTGATAGAGTATATAGAATAATTTGAATCATATTATGTGTCTGATAACCATAGTCATATAGTATATATGATAACTATATTCGTGTAGTTGTTTCATTGTGCTACTTCTGAAGTCATTATGCCATGTTTTTCCATAAATGAAGAATCCATAACTTACAGGTTCCAACTCTGGGGGAAAGAGTCCTACAGTTAGTAGATATGAGCACAAAAAGACCTATAATTCGACTGAACGGAGATAAATTTCGGCAATATGTGAAGGCTTCTCCTAGAAACTATTCTTTTGTCATCATGCTTACTGCATTATCCTCCCAACGACAGTGTGCCATCTGTAGGTAAGGGAAATATCTATTTTAAAGAACTTGTATGTGGAATTGTAATTGATTTTTTTTTAATTTAAAAACCTAAGATTCACAAGATCATGTTGGTTTGTTGAGTTGTGAATAGGGCTTTCATGAGTTTTCTTTCAGAATAGTTTCTTGAAGAGAAGGATTTTATTTTGTGACTGATGTGGTAAGCGGGCAGCACTTGAGTGCCAAAGGTGTAGTATGTTTATAAATATTGTAGGGTATTCCTCAAGATTTTTTTACATTGAAATATATCATTGGAAACCTTCAAATTTCCATAATATCTAAGGAAAGAAAACCTCTGGGATTTATAAATGAATGGTAAAAATATGAAATTAAAATTCTACAGCTACAGTGAACCAAACTCTGGTGGGTTATGATATCAGCAATCTTATGCAAATGAGAAATATCTTCAGTATTTTGACCATATATAATGTTTATTTGAAATTTCTCTCTTCTTTACAAGTTTTACCATTTTCTAATGATTTCTGATTTACAGAGGTATCCGAAGTATTAGCCCAAAATGTATGTTTATGAAGTAGAATGCTATCATAAAATATCAATCTTGCAAAACTAAATAATAGAATATATTACAGAAGAGTAGTTAAGTAAATCATATGGATCAGTAGGAGTTAGGAAACAAACAGGTAATTGAATTGTAGGGTGTTTTGGCACAAAGAAGCAAGTTTTTTATTTATGAAGTCCAATCAGATTGGATCTTTGTTGCTGATGGGAGGTCAGTTCTTGGACCTTTTCTTTTTTTTATTTATATTAATGATATAGAAAGGGGCTTAATTACTAAATTAGTAAAGTTTGCTGATTTCATTAAATTCTCGGGTATTTGAAATTGTATTGAGAATGTTAAGACACAACAGAATGACTTTAATCAGTTGGTAAGTAGGATAAGTATTTGGGAAATGATCATTAATTATAGTAGATGCAAGATAATGGATATGGGTTATCATAATATGAATCACACATTTAATATAGATGGGGACCCACTCAGTAGCATGACTGAAGAAAAGGATCTTGGCAAAATGGTGGATAAACCATTGAAAGTAGTGTTCTGTTACTAGTAGTAAAGCTAATAGAATTTTAGGGTGTATTCATAGATATACTGGTTATGAGTCAAAAGATGTAATTATCTCTTAGTGTAAATCACTGATTAATCCTCACTTACAATATTGTGTGCAGATTTGGTCTAAGGAATAATATTGACTTATTGGAAAGGGTGAAGAGAAGTGCTACTAGAATGATTCTGGGGATTGAAGGGGTTTTTTACAGAGGTAGGTTAAAGTCTCAACTTATTTGCACTGATGAAAGAAGGGTCATAGGTTATCATATTGATCTACAAAATTATCTAGGTGATCAATAAAATACAGGCCTCTGATTTTTTTATGCTATGTTCCAAAGATAACAGGATAAGATGACAAATTTAATATTTGAAAATAATAGGCTAAGTGCTAGTTAACCATCTGTTCATGGGATTGGTCAAATGTATCTGTGAAGCTCTGCATAATAATTTTTACTCTAATTGTCAATTTACAATGCATATCTTCATAAAATTTTACAAGCTTTTAATAAATTAAAATTCTGTTGTATACCCAACTTGATTTTATTACTCTTCATGATTTCTACCAGCTTACCCTCAAATTGAAATTCTTTTAGGCAGGATTTGAGTAAATTAATCTATGAGACCTTGGGTTTGGACAAATACATAAATTGAAATGGTTTGACCTCTTGAGTCCAAAACTGGAATTAGATCTCAGATTGGTCAAGAAATGACAGAGCTATGAGCTAAAAGATTTTACTTAATAAAACTTGAAGCCATTCTATGAGCTGCTATGCTGTGGCTAAAAATACAGTTTTTTCATTTCTTTTGCACAACCCCTAGAACTTACAAGTGAACATCAAAAGGTTTTTTTTTTGTTGAAACATTGTATTTTTTCTCTATGCTAACTGTAACAATGTACAGTGAAATGAATAGTGTAAAAATATGAAATAAAATTACTAATACAGTTTTTTTCACTGTATTAACTGCAAGTATTGAACAGAAGTTTCCAAGTTATTTATCTCAACCATTTCAGCAACCAGCTTTTTACATCTGTTTTCCTTTAATCTTATAGTTTTATTGCTGTAATTTGTACTCACAGGATCAGTAATCCTCACAATTGTAAGGTATTATGATACACATGCAAAAGTTCATGAAATTGCGGGGCATTTCATTTTAGGCACTAAGTTTCTAATGCTTACATTTCAGTTGCGTTTGTTAAAAAATATATAGTAAAATATATATACTTAGAAGTAAGGATTTTGGTTCTTAATGTGTTCAAGATTGTTTGCACTCTTGTAAAAAATGAAGAGGTTTCTTTGCAAGCCATGTTGAGTCTCACAAATTTTGGGTGTTCAGAAAAGAATTTCTGTAACTTTGAAATATACCTTTTAGAAAACAAAGATGTATCAATTACTGGAATAGAATGTCCCCAAACAACAACTTGTAAGGTTTTCATTGAGGAGAATCTGTTCTTTTTATTGGTTATAATCGTATCCATTAGCCCTGTAAAGTTGGTTAGTAAACAATCTCAAAAGTCGGGGGGGGGGGGCAACAAGTGGTTTGACAAATTAATTGATACCTCAGCAAACCAGTTGTAATTATGTATAGTTTGCACTTATAATTGGTTGGAAACTACACCAGTTAGAAAATTATGAAAAGGAGAAATTGGAGTTCAAATGCATCATGTGACAGAAAAATGAAGATTGAGTATTTACAAAATTTTTCTTTTAAAAATTGAGAAGTTAAAACTTAGATTATACATCAAATTGATTTAGAAAATAAATTTTCCTGCCAAGTTTATTGACATACTTTGATTATAAAGTTGTTGAATTGAATTTTGAATGTAATACTAAAAGATTGTGATATATATATATATATATATATATATATATACACAAAAGAGTTAAGCCTGGATTTGAAGGGTTAAGATTGTTTTATTTTTCAAACAGTGTGATTATCTTTACGAATAAGTTGTTGTCTGTATAGTGTAACTTGCAAGAATGTAAAATGGGAAGCAGTGATTTCTTTAAAAAATAAAGTTAAAATTAAATTTCTACTTTTCTCAAGGGTGACTGTGTAAAGACAGCATTGAAGGATGAAGTGATCCCTTATTGTCTGTTTGTTGTTTTGATATATGAGATTTACTAATTCCATTATATTTCTTAAATGAATAATCAACTCATTATTATGAAACAGTACCTGTAGTAAAAAGTTACATGTTTTGTTTTGTTGCCAGACAAGCCCATGATGAATTTCAAATTGTGGCCAACTCCTGGCGCTATTCACAGCTGTTCTCAAATCATCTGTTCTTTGGTATGGTGGATTTTGATGAAGGACCAGATGTGTTTCAATATGTAAGCTCTTATTGTTTGAATCTTTGGGTGCCAGTTTGTAACACTGATACAATAACATGTTTGTAATTAATAAACAAGAATGTTGGTTGTTGCATATAATAGTGAAACTAAATTTTACCCCAAATGCAATATTTGTAAGTGAGGTTTTATATGGATAAGAGCTTCATCCATTTATCTCATAATGAAAAGGTTATTAATAGGTTTAAGAAAAATGATATGAAAGATGTCTCAGTTTTAAAATTATTGACAGACACATTCAAAACTAAGTAACAAAGATGAAAAATATTCCTTAGTTAGCATACAATAAACCTCTACTGTAAAGGAAGATAAAACATTTTTTAGTGGTTCGAAAGAATAAAAATCTGATCACCTGTTTATCACAAATCACTTTGACACACATCTACTTGAAAAAACTACTTTTAACCCTTTCGCATCAGTCTCCTGCAATTTGCAGGAACCCAACTGGGAAATGATATGTGTGCAACATTACATACAGTAACAGGTAAGATTTTGTTAAAGGTTATAACTATCTTGTACACAAAGAATGACTATCTTTATTAAGTTTTTCTACTAAAGATATGTTATCAAATTGTAGTTATTTGCACTCAGACTCTAAATAGTTCGAGTGAAAGGTAATTTTCATTCTAAGTAGGAAAATACTTTTCTTCATCTTATAGTTTCAAGTTTTATTTGCATAACCTCTAGAACCTCCTAAATGAATATCAAAAGTTTTGTTAAGGTAAATGTTTATATTTTATTTCCGATACAGTCTTACCTCCTCTCACACAAAGTTATTTTGCTCTTTTTTCTGCTCTCTAAGCATTGCTGAAAAAAATTTCCTGCTCAATGCACCAATCTATATACCCCACCAATTTTGTGCCACTATTGAACATGTACATAGCATGTGACTACTTTCCACCAATAGTATTGTGCTACCTATATTGGCACAAATAGAACCCTGTGCTATTCCTGCTCAATCTTCACTTTCTCAGTTGGCACAGCATTGTTTAGACATGCATTTTTTCTCATGTGATGCCTGTTTATGATTGTGCTTCTTTGCCATATATAATTTTTTTTAGCAGTTTTATTTTACTGTGTTTGCATTCTATTGTTTCAACATTTTTTTTTCATTTGTTTCTTGTTGCCAAATTATAAGAGATTTTATTATTAATTAACAATTCAATGTATCAACCATGGAAATTCCAGTTACAGTCCAAAATGCTACTGGTACGACTTCCCAGGTATCAGGTTCAATTTTATCTGCAGAGGAGGTACAGACCTTAATTCAGAGGTAGCTAGATTCATATGTTTAGCCATCAATTTCTTCTTCTTTTCCACATGACAATATTTCTGAGAAAGAATACAGTCAAGGAGAAGACTATTTGGACTCTCTTTTTCTGGCATCTTCTTATTTTGGTCTGTCATATTCTACACCTCTTTAGGAGTCCCCCACTTTTTTTATATAGCTATTCAAGTAGGTTGCTTGTCGATGCATATTCTGGTTTTGCTGTATGTTCAAGACATGGGTGATTTTGTTAGTTTTCTTTTTTTCTGCTACAGTTGTCATGCCACCACATCATTCACTTTGGTGGAGGTTTGTTCTTCTCCTTTTTTTCATATTGCTTCCAGTTCTTTCAGTGATTCTGGGATAAGTTTTTTTACTTGTAAACTTCACACATTAGTGGATATACCTGTGGTAGATGTGGCTCAGAAGCTCTTTGTGTGACTTTGTTCTTTACACACAGGAGATTTAAGTATTCCATGTCATTAGTGCTCGGACTTTGGTAAGTTGGATATTTATGCATCCTTTGTTGACTAAGTTAATTTTGATGAATTGTAAGGAAGATATTGTTTATTACTTTGTTTTTCTAGGTAATTTTAATAATTTTGCATGTTTGTTAATATTATGTACTTTGTAGACTTGGTAAATTTCGAGGGTTTGTCAATTTGATATTAATAAGTACTTTAACTAGATATGTTTTGGTGGTTTGTAAGTTACATGTCATTTCTAATAGTCACATCTAATGCAGTGTTCTATCTGACTAATTGTTTTTCTCACCAGTGTTAAATATGTGCCTTATAATCCTAATTATCCTCAGTGTTGGCCTTACTTTTGAGTTCTTTGTCGTCTAAGTTAATTTAGACAAATTGTAATGTTAGATATTGATTATTACTTTGTTTTCTCTGTAATTTTTGTCAGTTTTCATGTTAGTTGTGATTCTATACTTTGTGGACTAGGTAAATTTAGATCGTTTGTCAGTTCAATATTCATAAGTACTTTGTTAACTAGGTATGTTTAGATAGTTTGTACATTCAGTATCATTACTACTAGTAACATCTAATTCATTTTTCTACCTCAATAAAATTTTATTAATTATGTGCCTTATAATCTTACTTTTTTTTTGCTTTGCTACATTGCTGAAGTGTTGGTTTATTTCCCGTTCATAGGGCTGAGCTTTGCTTTGGTTCCTTTTCCTATGTTCTTGATACTAGAAACCAAAATTTCTCCTTGTAATCTACAGTTTGGGGTGTGTCCCCACAGTGCCCACATCATCAATAGTTATTTATTGCTCAAAAGTCAAGTGTTCCAGTTCAGGGCCCTACCATTTAGACTAACCATGTCTCTTTAAGTGTTTTGTGAGGTGGTAAGAGCTCTTGCCTGTCATCATCACTCGATGGGTCTTTGCACTGATCTTTACATGGATGACTGGCTACTGCTTGCTCCTTCCTGTTCACAGTCCAGAGACCACACTCTTCTGCTCATACAAGAAGCAGCACAGGTGGGATTCCTTATGAAAGGGGGGATCTTTTCTTACCCCCACTCAATTCCCAGTTTATTTGGGGGTTTTCTTCATGCCTACCTTAGTTGAGCCCAGCCTTACCCTTTTTTTGTCTTTGGAATATGGAGCAAGCTGTTCACATTGTGGTCTTAGCTTGCCATATTCCTGGCACCCTGAATCTGGTTGCAGATCAATTATCTTGTCCTGACAAAAGTTTCCCCATGGAGTGGTTCCTTGATCTATAGATCTTTTGGTGGATATGTTCCCAGCTGGGGACACCTCATATATGTCTTTGTCACCCACTGGTACACCAAACTTCTTTCCTTTTGGTCTCCCATTCCATACCCGCTAACTCTGGAGGTGGATGCTTTTAGTTAAAATTGGAGTGGTCTTCACATCTATGCTTAACCTCCTATTTGACTCCTCTCCAGAGTTCTATCCCTAATCCAAACCACTCTGTGTGTAGTCCTACAGATGGCTCCTATTGGATGGTGCAACCATGGTCCACACTGCTCTGATCTTTATTTATACAACCTTTATTACCTCTGTCTCAGTCTCTATTCCATCGACCTCGATGTCATCACACTCTGTCTTCATGCATGGCTTTTTTCAGGTCCATTGCTTCAGCACAGAGACTGATTCCAAGTTGCATCTTTCCTTTCCAGTTCCATCAGACTTTCGTTCATGTCTATTTAACAGAGGCAGTTGTTTACCTTCCACCTTTGGTCTCTTCAACATTGTTTTCATTTTTCCCACCCTTCTGTTCCTCATCTTTCCCACTTCTTCACCTGTTTCTTTGATAAAGGCTTGTCCACTTCGACTGTGTCTAGTTTATGCTCCTTTCAAGTTATGCATCCTCCATGTTCCTTAGATTTATGTAATTGGGATATCATTGCAGTCCTTTATGCCCTTTCCCATCCACTCTTTGTACTTTTGTCTACGTGTTCCATATACCATCTCTCCCTCAACCTCTATTTCCTTCTCCTCCTTTGTCAGATGTTAAGATAGGTTCGCCAATTGTCATTAACTCTCTCAACATGGGCTCGGTCAATTTGACCGACCACGTGACCTTTTTGTACTCATTTAAAGTCTTTATAGATTTAATACTTCTAACTTTCTATATAGTGTGTATATCTTCATGAAATTTTGCAGTCTTTCAGCTAGTGTTATGTCTTTCACATACAAAAATCATATTTTTTAGTGATGTACTTTTAATAAAATAAAATAAAAATTTGTTTAAGAATATATTGAGTATTTGTTTTTAATAATCCGTGTGCAAAGTCATTTTCATGTTAAAATTAAAAATATTTTTCCTCATTTCAAAAATCTCAAATTTCCTTTGTGTAATCCTTAAAACTTCTTAAGTGCATTTCAAACGTTTTTTTTTTTTCAGTAAAACTTTATAGTATATCTGTTATTTTCTCTACCCTATCTCAAAATGGAATCGGCCAATTAGACTGACCTTGAAACCACCAAAAAAACATCAAAATAAATCTAAATTACCCTTTTTTCTTTCTAGAATGACTTCAAATTGTAATATGAAACTACATTTGTTTATCCTAAGTAGCACTAAGTTTATAATGGTATACATCTATTTATAATTAAACTTTATTGAACTGTTTCTAACTGCTATCCTCACCATTATAAGTTGTAAATCACTCAGGGAATGTGCAGCTAACGTTACACTAACGAATTACATTACCCATGAGCTGCTATAGGCTGCTTGCTTGTGTGCCTTGTGAAACATTTTTATTATAATATTATTATTATTTATTTTATTTAATCTAATCTTAACTAACCTAAAAGGATCCCTATTTTTACATTTTAGTTACATTTATAATTGTACATAAAGAATAAACATGAAAAATAAGAAATAAAATACTTAACCAGTCTTCTTTTTTCTTGCTGTCAATTGTCAAAGAAAGTTAACCCTAATTATTATATACTAATGATAGTAATGCACTTAATATTTTTTATTTAATTAAATAATGCACCAAACAATATAGACTAATAACATGCAAAAAGCAAACAAATTCCCTTACCTCTCAAAATTTTTCTGACTTTCTAACTACGCGAGAAGAGTCGTTACAAATTCATCCAAGTTAATCAATAACTTTCTCACGGGAATGATGTTGGTACTCTGAGTAAACTCGACATTTAACTGTTCGGAACATGACATTATACAATATATCATTTGATAAATGAAAACCTTGACTTTCT